CGGTGGCGGCGATGCGGCAGCCCCGCTGAGCCCGCCCGCTCGTGCGCGGGAGCCGGCCGCGCAAGGCGGCCCGGGCCAGGCGGCAGTATGCGGGGCGGCGAGGAGCTGGACGGCTTCGAGGGCGAGGCCTCGAGCACCTCCATGATCTCGGGCGCCAGCAGCCCATACCAGCCCACCACCGAGCCGGTGAACCAGCGCCGCGGACTGGCCGGCCTGCGCTGCGATCCCAACTACCTGCGCGGCGCGCACGGCCGCCTCAAGGTCGCCCAAGTGGTAGGTCCGGGCGGGGCCCCAGGTGCCGGGTGGCGGCCTAGCCGCGCGCTTTCCCTCCCCGCGCCCGCTACAGGGGGCTCAGGCCCGGCCGACTTCTGCGGCGCCCCCCGCTTCCCGGGGTTGCTCTTCCGACCCCCTCTCCCTCGAGGGGTTCCTTGCCTACCTTCCCGCAGGCGTTGAGGACTCTGCCCGCAGCCCGAGCCTGCTAGATTCAGCTCCTGTTCTCAGGTGTGTGCGTCTACCTGGTCACCTGACCCCGGGCCTACCTGTCTGTATATATAGGACGCGGTGGTGTGCGCTGCCCAGCGGGAACCCCTGCTGTCCCCTGGGTACTACTGGGCATAGCAGTTTGTGGCAGGTTTTTGGGGTCGCACCACCGTCACCTTTCTTTACTGCCCAGGTCTGTGTCCATCCCCACTGCTGGGGGGGGGAATGATGGCGGCGCGGTTTCCTCCCCAATCGCTACCTGAGTGCCGCGCGGGTCGTAGACCCCGAATCTGCATTAGTTGAATGAGAGATGTATTACAGTTACTGTGGTAGATAGAACTCAGGTCTGCCCACCAAGTCTCCAGTTTCGACGGCAGAATTTGGATTCCTCGCAATTCACTGAGAAGACAGACTGGGCATCCCTGAGTTCCTCCGCTGGTTGGCACTGTCCAGTTGGTACCCAGAATTAAATCACTCTGGGAGGGCAGTCAGTGTTGGAGAAACAGACAACTTTCTGTTGGACTTGCTCATAGCGGAGCTCATTTCTCAGGCTCCTTATTTTTAGCTTTCAGGATGTTCATCAGGGCCATGGGCTCTGCCCTTGTCTTGTGGTTTTGTGACAGGCCTCTCAGAGCAGTGGACAGGCCATGGTCCAGCTCAGAAAAGACTGACCCAGCTAGGCCTTCCTCCGCTGCTCCTCAGCCAAACTAGAGAGACTTCGCAGCCAGAAAAGCCATTTGCATTGAGTTGCAGTGCACGTGCCTTTAATTTTTTCCAAGCATTAGTCTTTTAGTGTTTACTTGAGTGTGCAGATAAACATACGTTAGGAATAGTATTATGTGTCGACACCCATTAAATAAAGCTCTCAGTTTTTTTTTTTGTTTTTTTTTTTAATCATAATACTGTTTTAGCTGTCTCCTCGGTGAAAGGTTGGTTCTACTTATTACCAGAAGGTATTCTTGGAAAGATAAATTGAGCAGGTGACCCAGCTCTAGTACTGTAAATTGACCTTATTCACTGGAATACTCTAAAAGATATACTGGTTCTGTAACCCGAAGAATGGAGGGGGAGGTGTGTTTTTAGAAGAGGCAGCTAGGCACTACTGAAGTACTGAAAGGAGAATCTGAAATGAATCAAAAAGGAACTTGGACCCAGGGCTGTGTTAAGTACCTTCCTTTGTTTACTCCTTGGGTTTTTGAAAGTAAATAGAACTTGCCCTTGGCAAGCTTGAAAGAACTTGTCACTTCAAGGACTGCTGAAAGTTAAAATACAGTATTTGTACAAAATGGGAATTAGCGCTTCATTGCTGGGACTGTCATCTAAGGCCAGGGATGGAAGCCAGTGGTATTTATCATTGCCTTTGGGTCCGTAGGAGTCCAGGTGATGTGATTAAGCTATTGATTGGCTGCTAACTGGCACTTTGAACCAACTGCTCCTTGGGAGAACGCTGTGGCAGTCTGTTTCTATAAAGAAATTCTGTGGAGTAGTTCTACCTTGTCGTATAAGATCTCCATGCGCTGGAATTGAGTTTGGTTTGGTTAGGTGCTATTTGGTTGTAGACTTTTTTCATTTGCAAAAACTTAGGCCTAGGCCTTCAGATCTCCGCCTACTCTGCCACTTGTCTCATCTCTAGAATTTGAAAATCTCAAGGCTTTGTGTAGGGGAGCATGAAGGAAAGAGACTCACTTGAAGGGCGTGGCAAGTTGCACCAGTCTTCTGTATATTTGTGCTTTTCGCCCTTGATAAAAAGTAGGAGGCTTAGGAAGAAAACTCCCCACAGGATGTTACAAGGAGTCCTTGGGCAGCACACATGATTGGAACCTACCCAGAGGCATCTTAGAGGACAGACCCGATTTGCTTCTGAAAGGTCGCAGCCTGGAAGTAGGCTTTTATGAAGCACTTCTGTTCTGCACACACAGGGTCGCCATCAGTCAGAATTGACTTGATGGCAACTAGCAATAGCAACAAGATGTTATATAAAGCTCAGAATCCCATCAAAAATACAGTTCAGTTCTAACTCGATGATTTTTAAGAAAAATTTGAGTTTGCATGAAGACTTTGTGCGGGTGTGTGGTGTGGCTTGCTCCACTCCATAGATTGTGCCACTTAAAGTGTGATCCTAAACCAACAGCCTCGCCATCACCTGAGAGCTTGCAGAGTAGAAATGCAGAATCTGAGGTCTTATCCCAGACTTTTAAAAATCAATTTGTATTTTAACCGGTTTCCAGAATGATACAGAATTGTACAATAGGAAAATGGAATTCAAAAATAAGTCACAAAGTTGGAGACTTATTTTTGAATTCCATTTTCCTATTGTACAATTCTGTATCATTCTGGTACTAAAAATCTCACATGAGTACTAGCATCCAAAACCATTAATAACCTCAGTGCTGGATAAGATTTTCTGAATAATAATAAAGCCCTTTGCTATTGAATCAGTCGATTCAGCTGACTTACAGCCAGATCACAGTGACCCTATGGGACAGAATAGAACTGCCCCATCTTTCTCCCAGGGAGCACTTGGTGAGTTAGCAATACTAAACCACGGCTCCACCAGGCTCCTTGATGAGTAGTAATCACAGCCCTCATTTAGTGGTGCAAGCATGACAGTTAGGATGTGTCTGCACTGTCAATGTCGGCACACAGGTGATGGTGATTCCGTTCAGGGTAAGGTTAGTGGGTGCACTGCTGGGATTTGAACCCCGGCAGTCTGGTTTGAGTTGTTCCACACAGCAGTGCAGGAGACTTTGAGACCAAGGACATTTCTGTGATTTTGGGGAACACATTGCGCTTATGGGCAAGTTTTTCTTTGTCTCTTCGAGTGAGTGAGAGACTTTTAAAAATGCCATTTTGAAAGGACCCCTAGGAGAGGGGCCCTTGTCACTTCCCATCTCCTTTCTTGATCCCTTCCCAAGCCCAACTGAACTTCTGATACTACATTTGTTCAGGACTTTGTATAACCTGAAATCAGGAGCTCTGGTGGTGGAACAGGTAAGTGTGTGACTATGGGGTAAAGTACTGGATCTCAAGATCAGTTTAAACCACACGGTTGGTGATTCAAACTCACCAGCTGCTCCTTGGAAACCCCATACAGGGTCGCTATGAGTCGGAACCAACTGGACGTCACTTATCAACAACAACAACAAATAACCAACATATTGATAGCTTGCATGTACCCAGTGGCTCTGAGGGAGACTGGTCTGGCAGCCTGCTCTGGGAAAGAGTACAGCCAAGAGAACTCGATGGGTGTGGTTGTACTCTGTCTAGTGGGGTTGCTCTGAGTAGAAAATCAGCTCAATGGCATACAACCACAGTCTTATTTGTAAGCAGTTTTCCTTGGTGGGGAAGATGCTTGTGTGAAAAATTCTCACTTGAAGGGGGCCCAGCCCTCATCCCCATATTTTGTGTGTGTGTGACCTTATTTTCTCATATAAATGATGGAGTCTGCCCCTGGTTTTCAGAGTGGGGTCCTGTGGGATCCCCTTAACCCCCATTACTACATCTATGTAGTTGTGATTCTTGTTTCACATGGATCCATAAAAGATAACAAACTCTTGTCCATCAAGTCGATTCCAACTCATGGCAGCCCTGTAGGACCAAGTAGAACTGCTCCATAGGTTTCCACGGCTATACATCTTTACGGGAGCAGATTGTTCTGTCTTTTTTTCTTGGAGCAGCTGGTGGGTTCAGACCACTGACCGTGTGGTTAGCAGCCCAAGGCTGAACTCCCTGAGCCACCAGAGCTCTTTTTCCTTTAGATCTGAGGCTTTGATTAATATTTTAACGAGCATCCCTCATAACTCACAGTTTTTGTACTTCAGATTTATTCTGCTTTCTATCTCCTTATTACCGACAAACCAAACCATTTCTGTTTAACTGCATAACTACTGACCATAATGTAGCTGGTTCAAGCCTGCCTCCTGAGAAAGGCCTGGCGATCAGCTTCTGAAAGGTTACAATCTTGAAAACCCTGTGAAAAACACAGTTCTACTTTGCAACACATGGGGTCGCCAGGGGCCCCATATTAGTGCACCAGAGTACCCATGTGGCTCTTCAAAAGTTGTGTCATCGCAGAGGCCTTTCCTGACCACTGGGTCTAGAACTGGACACCCTCCTGTCCCCACTCTGTCTCACCTTTTTTTCTTCCACAGCATTTGCACCCCATTTGAGTGTCCCTTCCATGAGAGCAGGGACTCTGTGCTGAAGTTTTACTGCTCTCCCCAGTGCCTAAAACAGTGCTTTGTTGTTAGGTGCCCTGGAGTCGGTACCGACTCATAGCAACCTTATGCACAGCGGAACGAAACACTGCCCGATCCTGGGCCAACCTCACTATTATTGCCACACTTGAGCCAATTGATGTTGCCACTTTGCCAGTCCATCTTGCTGGGGGTCTTCCTCTTTTTTTCTGACCTTCCCTCCACCTTACCAAACTTGATATCCTTCTCTAGAGACTGGTCCCTTCTAACAATATGTCTGAAGTATGAGAGATGAAGTTTAGCCATCCTGGCCTCCACGGAGCACTCTGGTTGCACTTCTTCCAACACAGATCTGTTGGTTCTTTTGGTTAGCCCATGGCACTTTTCAATATTCTCCTTCAACACCATAACTCAAAAGCATCAATTCTTCTACAGTCTTCCTTATTCACTGTCCAGCTTTCACATGCATATGAGGTTGTTGAAAATACCATGGCTTGGGTCAGGCGCACCTTAGTCCTCAAGCTGATATCTTTGCTCTTCAACACTTTAAAAAGGGTCTTGTGCAGCTGATTTGCCTAATGCAATACGTCATTTGAT